CGGGAGAGAGAAACGACGAGTCTGCGGTGTCCTCCCTGGGCACCTTCTGCACGAGCTGGCTGGTCTCACTGTCAGCATCACTGTCCATAGATGTGTCCTTGAGCTTCTCCTGCAGCTTCTGCTTACACTCCTCCTGTTGACGCCTCATGGCCAGGTCCGTCATCTTACTCAGAACTTGATCTCTTCTGTCATCTTTGCGAAGTTTAGCCATTTCCTGAGAATGACAAAGATATCATTGGACAATCTGTATACCTACAAAAGACACGTATCCTTACTGCCCTTATGTTGTGGCTATTTAGGGCAAGGTAAAACACTGTTCCACTGACGTTCAGACAGGGTTACGCTGGGTACAAGATTAGACCAGGGGTAAGCGAACTATGGGCCGCGGGCACAAAGGAGGTTAGTTGCGTATCCTTTACAGAACGTCGCAGAACCACTCCCAACAGCCCCTGGCTGTTATGTGGTTTTTCTAGGCAAATTTTTGTCCAGTAGTTTGCCATTGCTTCTGTACGGTCGGCTTTCTTGATACCACTGTGGAAACCAAAGCAAGGCGCATGGCCCGCAGCTGGGATCGAACCCGGCATCCCGGCATTATGAAGCGTTCGCATCGACTTAGCCACAGAGCCGACTGACTATTTAGGACAATGTAAAACACTGTTCCCCTGACTTTCAGACAGGGTCACGCTGGGTACCAGATTAGAGTAAAGGTGAGCGAACTATGGGCCGCGGGTACAAAACGGAGCAATTATTAGTGGCCAGGCGAGGCCGGTAGTAGAAGTAGTAATAGTACATTTTACCCCACCACACAAGCGATAAACACCCGATGACACAAAATGCCACCATGTGGATGAGGATCACCCGTGGAGAGGGCCGGGAAACCGCGTTCAGCCATTTGACCAAATTTATGGCTGGAATATATTGAGCCAGGGTGGGGCTCCAAAATAACGAAAAATTGCATCCCACAAAAGAGACGACATTTTAGCATATCACCGTTCTGTAAAATTACTGTATAATCTGGCCCTTGAGTTTACAAAATAGAAAAACACAAGAAAAAAATCATACATTCGTATGCGGAAAGGAAAATAAATTTAACAGATCACACAACAACAACAAATGTGATAAGCTAAACAGTGCTAACCAGAAACGAGTACCGTCAAATATATAACAGGGCTTCAGTGTGTGAGTGTGTTTGACCAGAGGCGTAGCGATGGATAATAATCTTAGATTATCACCCAAGAATATAGTGTTACGAAGAAATCTGGATGTTATGTTTACAATGGATTTTCTTTCTACGTGGCCCTCAACGCGTCATACTCCCCCAGGCAGCAGTGGCTGCACTGCAGCAGACATGTATTTTAGATACTGCAAACGAAATGTGGAGGAGGATTATGATAGTGGTGATTTTTTTGTTTAGTGCTTGAGGAAAGAAAAATTAAAAACAGCAAAATTGTTTTCCTTTGTGGCTGCATGTCAATCCTCCAGGCGACTCAGAGGGATCCAAGAGACAACATGGAAAGAACTGACACGTCAGCTAAACATTCTCAGGAAATAATCAAATCGTTCTACAGTATATACCGGATCACTGCGGCATACCAGCAAATGAGTTAGCAGACAGACTTGCAAAAATGGAACAAAGGAGAAACAAAACACCCATCCATTGTCCTTACCAGAAATCAAAACACTCATTAAAGGAAAATATAAAATTCAACAGAAAGCAACACACAACCATTTTCCTTCTACGAACAGGACAGTGCAGGTTCAACTACCGTCTGCATAAAATAAAGACTGTACAATCCCCACAGTGTGCCTGTTAAACAGGACCACAAACATCTGAGCTCATTCTGCAGACCTGCCCACTCTACCTAGAACTTCGATAAGGCCTCAAGAGCAAAGTGTGCAGAGTAAGCTGTTTAGAACCATGAAGGACCTGCTACTGACATGCTAGTTCATGAAGGCATCCCACCTGATGGTCTGACCACAGGACACAAAACCGAACGCAAAGAAGAAGAAGATATCGTTGATGACAGAGAAGAAGTTGATGATGACGACGACAGTAGTTGCGGTGACGACATGTAATCGGATAATCGCAGTTTCTTCTTCTTCATCTTTATTTATCGGCGATTTGCGTGTACATAAGTTTTATAGGCTTATTTGTGTGCAGTTGGCTGCTCCTTTCCGCTCTGGCAAATGCACTCAGACTTCGAAAAAATCCCTAAATTAGTCAACTCCGACGTCATGCTTGTTGGGGAGGCAGTGGGTCTATTGGTTTGTCCCACAATGGGGCCCTAGAACCCACACCGGGTAATCGTTGTTGCAACGTAATAGCAAACTTGTCGCCCCATAGTTGCTTACTTCCTGTGCCAACTAAGACCACACCATGTCCACCATCACCCCTAGTGGAAAAACAGGCACATACTGCAGTCTCAGCAAATCGAGTAGCATATACACACGTTAAATGTATAAGGCCGCAGTCAGAAGGGCCAACACAAACAGGCCGACACTAGAAACACAATTTATCATTGATGGAAGCAGCAGTTACAACAGATCAGTAGTTCACACGCGATCAATCACATAAGACACAATCAGTTATAGGGCAACAGACCGCTCGCCATTTTCTAAGCCTACAATTCACAACATAAACCACGTTGGCACAGTCGAAAAGCATTCTGAACTAAAAATCTGCAGCTCACAGTGTTGGACCATGCACTTAACTTAGTATCTGGGCGACTGAACTATATCTTTTCAATCTACATATGAAGGAAATGCAACTTTCAACTATTGTCAGAAGTCGGAACTTGCCACTACTAAAACTATCCTCTATATTGACCGGAAGTCTCGGTGACGAAAATAATGATGTGTAAAGGAATAATGACTGATTTGTGTTATTTTAACACTTGACCGCTGACCGCTTTACCAACACCACCTCAACAACAGCCGCCCTGACAGACCCGACACCTTACCTTCAGGTAGTTTCTCAACTGGTTGTCCTGCTTGTTCTTGCGAATGTGTGAGGCGATCATCATGACGATGGACATGCCGTAGATGAGGATGACCGCCACCACATAGTACAGGGCCCCTAGACTGTCATCGCTGGCTGAGATGCCGTCGTCGATGACCCCAATCCAGGTGTTGTTGTCGCTGGTCGCTTTGTGGAGGCGGATGGTCAGTTTGCCATGAACGTCCACTGCTGCTCTGGTGACAGATAAGAACTTCTTCAGGCAAATAGGACCATAATGAACTTAATGGCACCCAACTCCAAGACGTGGAGTCGTACACCTATTTGGGCAGTAATGTAGATAAAGATGGGGGAACTGACAGAGACATTAAAATAAGAATACAAAAGACAAGAGGAGCTTTTTTAGCACTAGGGAATTTGCGGAGGTCAAAGAAAATTAAAAGAAATACTAAACTTGAAGTGTTTAATTCTAATGTCAAATCAGTACTTTTGTATGGGGCGGAAACATGGAGAACTAAGGTAAGGTTAGTTGCGCATCCTTTACAGGACGTTGCGGAACCAAATTTAGGTCTGGTAGTTTGCCATTGCTTTCTGGACGATCGGCTTTCTTTATACCACTGTCGAAACCAACGCAGGGCGCATAGCCCGCAGCTGGGATAGAACCCGGCATTACATTCTAATAAATTGCAGAATGGTGCCTGCGCAGAATCGAGTGAATTAAATGGTACGTTATAATAACTAATGTAGAGCTTTGGGAGAGAACAAAGCAAGCTCCAGTTAACCAAGAGGTGAGGAAAAGACGCTGGCGTTGGATAGGACACACAGTGAGAAAACGGGACAACAGCAAAACTATAATGTTTTTGTATTGAAACCAACAGGGGCATAGGAATAAAGAAAGGCCAAAAAAATACATGGAGAAGAGAGCTGGAGAATGAAGTTAAAAAGATGGGGACTACATGGGGAGAGATCCACGTGTAATGACGAAGGATAGAACGACTTTGCGTGAGTTGTTTGAGGGCCTATGCTCCACTGGGGGTACAGAAAGGCAGAAGAAGAAGACCTCACTTGCGTATGGAGGGTAAAATCCTTCCTCCTTTATCATGTATTGACGTTCACTTTTAAATATTCGTTGTTTTCGAAAAAAAAATGTATTTGCCAGTCGGCATGGGGGCCCCCCCCCCCCCCCTCCCCCGCAATCAACTCAATGATGACTTTGTGACTGCGCCCCTGTCATATCTTCTATATCTCTATATCCTCTTTCTGTCGCTGTTGACACATAAGGCTTTCACAAGTGATCTCCGTTGCTGCCGGTCTGCCGCTTTTCTGCCCATGGTATCCCATGTCAGTTAACATTCCTTCATTTCCTGTTCTATTTCCCTTCTCCAGGTTTCATTAGGTGGTCCACGTTTCTTTTTTCCCATCTGCTGTCCACCGGAAAGCGGTTTTTGCCAGAATGTCACAAGGCATTCTGCAAACATGTCCAAGCCATCTCAATCGTATTACTTTGATAACATTTAAAGTAATGCACATTCTGTTTTCCTTCTCACTTCCTCATTTGTGATCTTGTTTGGTGAGAATATTCGTAGAATTCTCCTTAAATATTTATTTTGAAAAGTCTCAAGTTTCTGTGCAATTCCCGCTGTCATTTTCCAACATTCACTGTTGTATAATAATATTCCTAAAATATTGCTCTTGTATATTCTGAGTTTTGTCTTCAAACTAAATTTATTTGATTGCATTTACTGTTAAGCATGGTAAATGCTTGATTTGTTTTGTTTATTCTTGGTCCTATAGTTTATAGACCAATCGGACCTTGGTGGGTGATGTCGCCAACATTTCGCCGGCCTCCTTTACTTCCCATGACTTCACCTGATACCCATTTAAGGCTGGGTCGCCCTGGAAGCCTAGGTCTGGTTCCGTCAAGAGCTGAACCCATGCGCTTCGGATCCACAGGTGAGCGTCTGGCCGTTACAGTACGGCGGCTCATGTGACCATTAAAGTAAAAGACTTTTCCCCCACACTTTTAGGCGTTTTGGGCATATAGGGCTAGACCTAGACTTTTTTAGACCAATCGGTACTTGGTGGGTGATGTGGTAAGCATCACGGTGGCTGCTTTTACTTCCCAGGACTGCACCAGGTACTAACGCAAGGCTGGGTCGACCTGGGAGTCAGAGTCAGTTTGACTGCCCCAGGTACCCACTCAAGGCTGGGTCGACCTGGGAGTCAAGGTCCTTTTGACTACACCAGGTACTCACTCAAGGCTGGGTCGACCTGGGAGTTAAGGTCATTTTGACTGCACCTGGAACTCACTCAAGCCTGGGTCGACTTGGGAGTCAAGGTCATTTTTGAAGAAAACAAAATCCGGCTCCGCCAGGACGCGAACCCATGACCGTCTAGCTGCCAACGCCACGGCGGCTCCCATGTGTCCATTAATGTTGATGAATTTATTGCGGCAGTGAGAAGATGCAAGGACACATCCAGAGTGTGTGTATGACAGTTCGCACTGAAGTGAACCGGACTGTGAGGCAATGCCTTTCATGCTGGGACCTCTATCGGAGATCAGCTGTCATGTTTGGGTGACTAATGGAGATGTTTCAGTTCACGAACTGGCTCCAGTAGGGGTTATGTCTGGATTTGTAGAGGACTACTATGTGAGTGTAGCAAGACAGACAGACAGACAGACAGACAGACAGACAGAACAGACAGACAGAACAGAGACAGACAGAACAGACAGACAGACAGAGAGACAGACAGAGAGACAGACAGACAGACAGACAGACAGACAGACAGACAGACAGACAGACAGACAGACAGACAGACAGACAGACAGACAGACAGACAGACAGACAGACAGACAGACAGAACAGACAGAACAGAACAGAACAGAACAGACAGACAGACAGACAGAACAGACAGAACAGACAGACAGACAGACAGACAGACAGACAGACAGACAGACAGACAGACAGACAGACAGACAGACAGACAGACAGACAGACAGACAGACAGACAGACAGACAGACAGACAGACAGACAGACAGACAGACAGACAGACAGACAGACAGACAGACAGACAGACAGAGTGTTAAATCGTATTTGGTACCATTTAAAAGAGGAGATCAGGATAAAGGACATTTTGAGATTCACAAAATGAGGAAATCCGATTCTAAGAGAGAGAGAGAGAGAGAGAGAGAGAGAGAGAGAGAGAGAGAGAGAGAGAGAGAGAGAGAGAGAGAGAGAAACGGGCAGGCCGGCCCGCAGACAGACAGGCCGGCCGACAGATAGACAGACAGACAGTCAGGAAGATAGACAGACAGGCAGGCATGTACACAGACATACAGACATTCCCCTGAGTGCTCATTTTTCCGATGCAGCTGCCAATGAGCGGTTCCCAAAATTCACAACCATTTTTTTTTTAACGTACGTAACCAGAATCCCTACACACAAATGTTGATAACAGTAGGACCGTACAGATACGTAAGTTTTGTCATTTGTGAACTAGGCAGCATTTCACCAAAACGAAACGCGCCAATTATTAACTCAACTGTCGCCAAAGAAAATATTACAATTATATATTGAACGCTCTCCGTTCAAGGCACGAGTGTGCGCACAGAGCGCTGACTCGACGTGCTCGAACCACAAACATTTATCGATATGTCGGAATTTCGTGAGCCGAGCAAGTTGTTATTATTTCCCCTGCCAAAGAAAGATGCTTAAAAGTTATCTTCAGTTTTTGTGTGACATTAATAAGATATGGACTTAAGAACGGTTCTTACGATTTCGTGATGGAAGACATAAAGATGTGTTAGGGATTTCGTCTCCGCCAGGGGTTCCCAGTAAGCTAAAATATGAGGACCGCTCTTGTATTATGGTCTGGCCCATATTTATAATAAGCATAGGGAAGAATTTATTATATAAATTTCATAACGGCTGAAAGGAACAACATTTTCACATTCAATATCAAAGGAACTAAATTAGTTAAACATTTCATAACAACATCTTCGGGTTCAACTACTCAGTTGAAGTACTTGTGCATGTGGGTCATCGATAGTTTGCAGGCGTTCGGCTCTCTCTTCAACTAATAAAAACGTGCCATCGGAAAACTGGGCGTGTTTTCATTTTTTTATTTTAAACAGTACAGTTAATAAATATTAGAATCGCAAAAAGGAATGCATTTTCTTTTGTTTTTGGTAAATACTATTACAGACCTCTTAAATTCGTTTTGTAGACTCTCCAAATATGAAAGACTGCTCAAGGCACTTGGGTAAGGTTAAAAATAACATTTATGAAATTTGCAGAATGAAGCAGTGAATCAAAAACATTCCACGGCACTCGGGAATTCCCACACTCGGGAATTCCCACACTCGGGACATTCCCACACTCGGAAATTCCCACATCTTCTCTGACCACTTCCTCGGTAGCCAACAAAACGTTACCATCCTCTTAGCGGCAGCTGCATCATTATTAATCGCCACCCCCCTCCAGTATGTGAGTTGGAAATGTTCAGGGTTCCCCCTGCTTATAGACCGTATGCTCTGAGCTGTTTCTGTCAACTAGTTGGTCGGTCGGTCCGTTTCTTGGAAACTTGCAGTCCCTCCAGACCATAGTGTTATATTGATCAAATGGTTTGCATACATGCCAAGACCTTTAAGATAGCACATCACGGAGAGTTCTGTCACTTAGACATAATGGAAGCAGGCCAGAGGTTGACCACGCAAGTAATGGACAGATGGAACATCTGAGCCGTAAATACCAACATCTACGCAGCACATACCGGAGCTCTCACCCGATGCCTCTTCAGAAGACGCCAAAAGCCAATACAGGACTCAAGAAAAAGAAGCCGAAGACGTGTTATGTTGTAGACATGCATAGGAATCACAGACCATGGCGATGTTGAATGTGACTAGCAGTACCTGCTTCTATAGCACAAAGTCTGCCCAATACTGTAGAGAACATGTGTTACCCATGCAACATGATCCCTCTCTGCTTTTTTTCTTCACAGGTCATGCAGCAGCATTTCTCCTAGAATGCCCCGAACACTTCCGAACTACTGACGTCCACAATAGTTAATCTGTGGTGTTGGTACACCATTGAAATGCTCCACCTGTGGAATTAACTACAGCAACAGTGTCTACGCCATTATTAAAAAAAACTTACTTGGTAAATCGCCGTGTATCCGACATATACCCAGCCTTGCTCATACTTCCCAAAACTGCTCACTGTTCGCCACGTCTGAAATGTTAATGTACCCACACAATTCTCCGCACGTCGCCGACCTTTTCACCAACAGCGGAGGTTGGCCGTTAGTATTGTATGAATGCCAAGCATTGCCTTAGTCTTGCTACGACCCCAGCCGGTATACTTCCACAAAACTGGATGCCACTGGCCATCTGCCGACGTCTGCGCCTGAGACGTGACTTGTCAATCTGAAGAAAACAACAATACACATGGTAATTAAAAACATCTAGGATATTCGAAGTTTGTAAAAGTATTAGGACTAACAAGCAATGGGGACAAAAATAAACTGGTGACTAGAAACTTCTTTTTTTTTTTTAAATAACTATAGTCATCCCCTTGTGGGATGCTATTTTTCGTTATTTTGAAGCCCCACCCTGGCTCTTCCCAGGGGCCGCAATATAGCCCGGCCATAAATATGGTCTAATCGTTGAACGCGGTTTCTGGGACCTCTCCACGGGTGATCCTCATCTGCATGGTGGCACTTTGTGTCACCGGGTGTTTATAGCTTGTGTGCTGTCCTGGTGGGGTAGAAAGTCAGTCAGAAACTTCAATGGAGGGGATTGAAGAGATGTGCAAAAAAAAAACGTTTAAACGGGAGACTTTATAAACCGACGACACAACAAACTTATAAACAATAGATAAGATTACCATTTGTTTTGAGTAAGGTTACTTGTTGATTTAAGCGCTGCTGCACTCATTGCTACACAACGTCATCCATTGTGATCTTCTGCTTCTTCTTTTGTCCCACTGCTTTTGCCACACAACGTCGCAGAAAAGAGTTAGATGTAATTTCCTGTCTTGTGTTAGTTGCTAGCTTGTGTTAATGTCATAATGGGCTTCTGCAGTACCACTCTTACTCTCTCCACCCATTTCTTTCTTGGTCAGCCTCTTGCCTTGTAGTCTGCTGTTCTCATGCATTACACTCCCAACTGCTGGCTGATTTTGTTCAGTCCTGGCCTGAGACCAAACCATTTGATTTTTAGATGTTCTATACAATCATTTACCGGTAAAGTGCCTACCATTTCTCCTAGTTCTTAGTTTGGTGACGCTGTCTTTGTTAAGCCTTATTTGATAAAGCCAGTGAACAAAACAATAAACAAAAACAAAAAACAATAACACAAAAATCCACATCAGTCGCGTATCCTTTACATGAAGTTGCAGAACCAATCACCCCAATTGTTTATGATGTAACTAGGCAACTTTACGTCCAGTATTTTGCCATTTACCACTGAACGATCTGTGATTGGTACAACTAAAGAAACCAACGCTTTTACTTCCCAAGATAATACCGGACCTGTTATGCGGTGTCAAAGTCAATTTTGTAAAGAATCCATCACCATTGGAATTCAAACCAAAGAACCTTAGACCAGCGGGTCAGTCAAATACCTACTCTACTGCCGCGTTCTTATTCAGATATACACAGAATTTAAACCAATCCAAGTTTGCAGTGTTGAATATGAAAGTTCTGTTTCTGGCAAATTGTCCGTAATTGTACCATCGATTTTCTGCTTTCAATTTGACTCGCGAATTACCCCCACCCCACCCAACCCCCTGAATGAGTGCTAAAGACATGGAGGATTTCAATGTGAATTCAGAATTTCTCTGCCATGATTGTTTTTAGATGTCAGCGTGTTACCGCGATCCAGTAAAGGACACAAAGCCGATAGGAGCTATTGAGCCTAACGTGCAAAAGAAAATCAAATATCTACAATCGATTTTATAGGAATTGGTTAAGCGTCTATACTCCACTAAAAAATGAAAGGCAAGAGAAAAAGGAAAAAATGGTATGTGGTGGGGGTGGTAAAGAAGAAGAAGAAGAAGAAGAAGAAGAAGAAGAAGAAGAAGAAGAAGAAGAAGAAGAAGAAGAAGAAGAAGAAGAAGAAGAAGAAGAAGAAGAAGAAGAAGAAGAAGAAGAAGAATGACTAACGTACAAACGATCGAACTTAAGTTTCCTCGTGGACTAAGAACAACTAGGCTGTGGATGAGACGATTTTCCAAAGTGAGACGTGTGGTATGATCGTCAGAGCAAGATTTTAATGCTGTGACAGATATATCATCTTTACCTCTGTGGTCAGAGCTGTTAAAATGCAGATGGATTGGTTTAAGCGTCCTATGTCAATATCAGAGAGGTGTTCCCGGAAACGATCAGCTAGCTTTCTGCCAGTTTCCCAAATATATGCCTTGTTGCATTTTTTTCAGGTTATGGCATCAATAACGTTTCGGGATTCACAAAATTGTTTTTAAAAAGGAAAGAATCATTAAAGAAAATGACTGATGAGGTCTGGACAATGAAATTACATGTCTTGCCCGTGGAGCGGGAGCATTCAGTAGTCCTAAAAGGAAGTGCTGTGTGGACCGGCAAGGTATCTTGGTACGTTTGATCCAAAAGCTACCTATAACCCCCAACAATTCATGAAAAACAAAATAAAACCAAATAAATCGACAACGTTCAACCTACTGTAAGCAGTATCGGTTGAAATTATGGCCTGGTTTATTTGTGCCAATTTCTGCTGCTACTATCTTTAAGCCTTTTCATATGCCGACTATTTCGGCTGTAAAACGTGGCGCATGATCTGTGATTGTATACGATTTTTGTATTTTCCAATAAGGAATATAAACACCTGCTCCTACTTCTCCTTTCTCATTTTTTGATTCATCCGTGTATATTATCAGGCTATCAGTCTCAATGCTTCTAATGTGCTGCTCTGCTATGGTCCTTACTTGTAGCGCATCAGTGTTTTGTGAAATTTGTTTTGCCAGGCTCGTGTCTACATATGATGGTTTCAATTCCCATGGTGGTAAGGGAAATTTATATCTCTTACTCAGTTCAAGTGTCCTTACTAGTTCTTTATTAGTATTAATGTCTACCCTAGCATCCCATCCTACTGGCCTAAGAACGTTTCTTACTGGCACCCCGTTTGTATTTGTGTTATAAGCGTCACATAATAAGTAGTATCCACGGCAACCTCCCTGTTAAAGGCGAATCTAGAAGTAGTTCTCTAACAGTCACAGCTGGGGGAAAAATTGATAAATATATAAAGCAACGCATAAAATGGGCTTTATACTTCCCAGGGGACTGAGAGGACACATTAATGTGGAGAAACCGCTGTCGACAATGTCTTTGATGCTACGTGTCCCGTAGTGAAAACCCCAAGAGAACTGGAGTCAGGCGAGGATTCTCAGTTGATAACATCATGGGTTAGAGTGCAGACTTTCCGATAGAAGATCCAAATGTTGCAATCTCCGTCGACGTGTGGGAATATATGTTAAC